GGAAATCAAAGTCCGATGATCGAAGTGATGATGATCCACGACATCGTACGATTTTTCTCTCGTCTCGTGTATTCTCTTTCTTTCATTCTTTTCCTTTCGATTCTTCGAATGATTCATCGTTTCTCTGTGATAGAATTCGCGCGTTAACGTTCACTGTACATAGTTTGTAAATACGTGCGTCGTTTTGGGTGGCGCGACGATCGACAGCCGAAGAAACGGTGTTTCTTTTATAATAAATAGATAGTTTGTAAAAATGATAGTCTGCGTGTCAACAATCGCATATGTAAAATAAATCAGCGATCAGCGTGTCGATGGTTGATCATTGTATCGATCGGGGATCTAGAGTTCAAAGAGTTCGGTCGGTTTCCTTCGATCTTTTCCCATCTCTTTCGATTCTTTTCTTTTATTATTTTTCCGAAATTGTTTTTAGACTCGTTGAAGTTACCACGAAATATACATGCGAATTTGTAATAAATCGAGGCTTGAATATTTTTATAGTTGATCCTCTTGGAAGCCTTCGTTTCCGTTTCTTTGGTTCGCTAACAATCGAGAGGAGGTTGAGATTCACTGCTCTTGGAGAGTTCCCGTTTCATTTGAGTATTCTTAATTCGATAATCCTCGCGATCATGCTGCATTTTTTGTGATAAATGTCGATGGATGCTTGCTCTTGGAATATCTGCAAGATTCGATAACATCATTGCGAAAGATATATATGTAAATATATACATACATATCTCACGACACACGTGGAATCATTCTTAGTGAAGAAAAGAAGAAATGTGTTCTGGATGATATAATTATGGAATCTTTTTATTGTTTCATATTCATTTTTTGTATTAGCCTGCTAGAAATAAAATTTGATTATATTTCAATCGCCATATTTCGTTTCTCTTCTTTTTGTTAACACAGCGATAGGTTACGTGTTAATTTAAATAAAAGAAAATTGTAAATGCTAATGTTCGTGTTATTTATTTATTCGAAATAATTAATCTGAATTCGAAGGGAAAGAAAAATGGGGAAATATAGCGAAAGGGAGTGTAATATGTTTTTAAATAAAAATTCGGAGTTATGATTTTTATTGTATAATTTATTGTAGAAGAAAATTAAGGCGCAGGAACGTGGTTGTTAATGAAGGTATCGAGTATTTAAATCTATCGATCATTCCATTGCTGTCGCAATTAGAGTACGGTATTTCCAACACGAGGGATTAATGCAATTTCACGAGCGAGTGCAATTGATCAATTATAGTAATTCATCGATCCCGCTGCTGAAAAGAATTCAAATCGCAGTCGAGTGTGAGTCGCGCTGAAATTTAAAAATAAAACAAGACAGGAAGAAACTCGAATGAATAAAACGACTTGCTAAAGACTGTTCCAGCCTCTAATTAACCATTCGTCAATTTATACTTGCACGAAAAATGTTTAAATAAAAATATAAAAATAAATACAGCAGTAAAAAGTCTCACAGAAAACTATCTCCAAAAATTTCTCAAATGTTAGCTTCAAAAAATTAATTATTGTTATTAAATTCGTTTTATAAACTCTTTCATTGTAACAATAAAATTTAGAAATTTAAAATAACCAAAATCTCTCAAATAGTAATAATAATAGATTTAAGAAATTAATTATTGCTATTAAATTCATTTTTGAGGTACTTATTTTTAAGTAGTCAAATTTAGAAATTGGAAAGGGAAAATATTTTTGATTATTTGTAATTTGTGAATCATTTATTGGTTTATTATTTCCCAGAATGCACATTTTTCCGAACATTTTGCAGAAATTTCTTTGGAAAGGTGGCACGTATAATGAGCTTGTAGCAACTTGTTTTTTAATGCATATTAATGAAAGGGGCGACAATTTACCATGGAATTGCTGCACGTACCCTTACGGATCAAACAATCAAGTTCACTGGCTGGCCTCGTAAACGAAACGACGTCGACTCTTTTACGAGCTCTTTACGGCCACACACTGCACACTTTATGCCGGTTATTGCATAAAATGCACGCTGTAGCATTTCACGCGATTGCTAATCGACTGCGAGAAGAAAGGAAATTTTGCGAACCGTGTTCTTTGGAAATCATTTTGGCCCTGACACACGGGCTACGCGATTTATGAATATTTCATGAAACTTCAAAGCACTAAAATTTTCAATTAATTTCAACCTTTAATTAATTTTTCGTTTATTTTAAACCCAACATATTTTCGATTTAAAATTGTACGAAAAATTTCAGTCTCGGTCGAGTCTTCTTTGAGACTCTATTTTATAATTTATTTCGTTTCATTTTAAAGGGAAAATAAATATTTCGCAAAGGATCATTTATGTATCTTTTATTTAATTTAGAAAATGTTATCACGATTTTTTTGCTCTCCCCGTTTCCAAACAGGTATGCTAACATGCATATGTAAATTATTTTAATTGAATTTTTCAATTTCTGGCAATATCCGATATTGGAAAATGTCAACTGAATATTCCGGAAATTTCATTTTAAATAAATTTCATTCGATTCGCGGAAAATTGTAAATATTCTAAAAACAATAATTTTTCAACCTTTTTGTAACATTTAATTTCAAGATTTGTATTCTTTAAACATTTTCCCGCATTACTTCCGCTGAGATAAATTCGCAAACTATTTGTAAAATTTTGCAATTTTATCCTTGCACGAAATTTCATTTCAAATAAATTTCCAATTTTTTAATTCAATCTCCAAATTTCAGTTCATCACGAGTATTTTCAATTTAATTTTTCTTAATTAAAATTTCAAACGAAGGATAAACGTTTTCATTTAATTAAATCCAAATTTAGCTCAACTTCTAGTGAAACTCGATAACAGATATACGCTATTATAATAATAAATTTTAATAGCGAAGCTTAGCAGAATATTTTGTTTAATAGAATTAAAATTAAAAATTGAATTTTAACTTAATTTTTCGCGATTTAGTTAGAACGATTATTTCAATTCTAACTTGATTCCAATGCAGTCAGAATAATCTTTCACCTTGTATTAGTTACGTCAAAATAACCAAATAACGCGAGCGAGCAAAAATAAATTCGTTACCATAAATGTCATGTACAATACGTGTATGCCAAAGAATTTATGTTGTCACTGGTTATTACCATACTCGTGCGCGAATATTAATCCGACGGAAGTTGTTGGGCAGCATAATCAAAAGTTAAGAGTTTGCTGGAACAATATTGACTTTAGAAAATGTACAAATAGGCGTATGTGTACATAGTTAGCAATAAACTAATTCGAGCTACGTTTCTATGTGAA